TATTTCTTTAAATAATCTACAAGTGCCCCTCCCGAGATCAGGCTCTGGATCCTGGTGGTAGGAGCTATTCGCAAAGCAGGCCAGGCATCCAGTTATCTATTACTCTCCATCCCGCCACTCAGAAGGGAAGGAGTAAAGACTAGGCCTCTCACCAGTTACTTCTCCCCCTCAGCCCTGCACTGGAAGAACGGGAGTGGGAGAAGATCCTTAGGGGGAGATGGACATAAAGGAAGGCTATAGGAAGAGATATAAATAAAATGTGTGTAATAATCCAGACTGTTCAGCCAGCCCTGAAGGTGTCCTTGTCATGCTACATATTACTGTATTTCATGTCAATGATCACTCCAGACACTGTAACCACGAGACAAATGTACCCTCACATCCTTCCAGTGTAAATACCCAAACCATCCTGGTGCCTACTGCTGCCACCTTGTCAGATGGGAGCTCCAGAACTGAACAATGTCAGCCTGTACAGTGCTGTACTCACTAGCTGAGAACGCTTAGCTTCAGCTCTCCGTCAATGAGCAGGCCCAGCGCTGCAAGGCTGAACTCGTGAGAACCAATGATACTCCTCCAATTACACATTACTGTGACTTTTATTGCTTGGAGCTCTGCATACCTCCTGAAGCAGTCCATTAATCAGGATGCTGGTAAGTGGGACCTACTGACGCAATCACAGCTTTGGCCAAGAGGGACAGACCCACCTGGAAAGGGGTGGGTCTGCCCACGGTACTCCCAGGTCAGCCTGGTGTGAATACAACACTCAGGTCTGTTTCCTTGCTCTCTGCATGGTCCTAGCATCCTTAAGATCTAATGATGCGCTAGCGATATGATTGTTTGGGACCGTTCCATGGTGTCCCCAAAAGTGGCACACAAGGGTACACGGTCAGGACGGTGGGACTGTCTCACTGAAATCGGGACTGTCTCGCTGAAATCGGGACTGTCTCGCTGAAATCGGGACTGTCTTTCTGAAATTGGGACTGTTGGGAGGCAATATATATAATTATATAATTTGCACATTTTTGTGAGTTTTAATGCTGTGGAGCTCTGTGATACCCTCATACACACTGCAAGTAAATCTAAATAAAAAATCACAAAATAGTATAAATACTAAACAAAAATGAATTAATGTTATGAACAATATTTACATTTTGTAATATTATAAATATTATATATGTTAATACTAAACAGGGATAATTGGCATCTGCATTTTGTGAATAGCTGGATTTTTAGTCATTTCTCCCACAGAAGCCCAAATCTCCTGCTGCCCACAATGAGCCTATCATCCGAGGAGATCCTGATCCTTATCCCAGAGAGACAACATACTGGGTGTGATGATGGATCAAGATATCATTAGAGAGTGGATGAATTGAGAATCACTGATTTCTGCCAATGTCTTTAGGTTGGCAAATTGTTTGTGTTTTTTGTTGTTTTAATACCATCTTGGCAGCCACCTAGTAAAGAGGCTCTGTGTCCTGCTTTATATTTTGCAAAGACCCCCCCATGGTTGCATTGCCGCTTGGAGAGCTGTGGTCCGTGGGTGCAGCAGAGGTGAGTTATAATTACCTAATGCTGCCATTAGCAGGTTCTACCATCAGCTGCTGGTGATTCATCTGCCAGGAGCCCAAGTCAGTACTGTATTCCCGCACATGTGCAAAAGTAGAATACTGATGTCTCTGGAGGATCCAGTGAGATGGCTGACGCCTCTATTTGATATGTGCAAGATAATACAAAACTTGATGGCAGTTGATCCACATTTCGTCAAACTCCTTGGAATTTCAACTGTTTTATGAGTATTTAACCCCTTAAGGACCAAACTTCTGGAATAAAAGGGAATCATGACATGTCACGCATGTCATGTGTCCTTAAGGGGTTAATAAACATGTTATCTCCATGGTAGGCTTGAAAATTTTGTTTTGGGTCACAGAGCTGCTTTAATAGTTCTGTTTCCTTTTGTGATTGTACGGGTCCAATCGCCGATGTTGATCCAGCCCCACAAGAGGGGGATATATGACTAGAGTACTCGAAATACTGCTATCATGGCTGGGAGTGGGTAGCGCTGAATACCATATGACCCATACAGATAGCCAATCAATGAGCTGTATTAGACTTTAACAAATGGTTAAAGCCATGTCTTATGGAGATGGTGGCCGCATGCTCTCAACGAGGAAAAGTTCAGCTATTTCAAACAAAACAAGCTACTGTTAATTTCGTTGACTAACAATTTTCGTCAGGTTTTGTCAACTAAAATTTTGGAGATATAGTCGACTAAAACCATTCAGATGACTAAAATACGACTAAAACTAAAATTGAATTTTAAGTCAAAAGACCATGACTAAAACTAACTTGAAATTTGCTGCCAAAGTTAAAACTGGCGGGTAAGACACATGAGGGAGAAGAGGAAATGAGACACATGGGGAGGGGGGGGGGCTGAGAGAATGAGATACATGGAGGCACTGGGAGGAAATGAGCACACGGAGGGGTTTGGGGGGAATGAGACATGTGGTGGACATGAAATGCATGGACAGGCCCGGACTGGCCATCGGGCATTCCGGGCAAATGCCTGGTGGGCCGCGATGGCTGTGGGCCGAGGCCGGCAGGGGAGATAACAGGATTTCCCCTGCCAGCCCCTGCAGGGCCAGCGTTATCCGAGCGCCAGCCCTGATGTGTGCCTCCATGGGCCGGTGGGGAGATCAAAGATCTCCCTCACCGGCCCAGAGGCACTGATATGCGGCTGCTGGTTGGGGAGGGAGGGAGGCAGGAGAGGACCCTGGGAGCTCTAGCCAGCAGCTCCGCCGGGTTCCACTCGTGGGATTCTGAGCGTTGCAGCGGTTACCACGGCAACACTCAGATCTCGTGAGAGTGAACGCTAGCCCTGAAGGCTAGAGTTCACTCTCACCACTGAGACCACCAGGGAAGGCAGCATGGCTCCCCACTCCATGGCAGCACGGCTGAAAGGTCAAAAAACAAGCCAGATGAATCGTACAGGATAATAGGAAAAGGTAATGCAGAGCCTTGTCAGAACTCCCCTAACCAGTGAAAGCTTCGCTGAGTTTCAAACGAGAGGGGAATCTGGTTTTTAAAGCCCTTCCCAATTGTGCGCCTAATTAACGCCTTTAAAAGACACAAACCGTGAGACCTACACCAAGCTGCGTTACTAACACGCTAAGAATCACACTACATCATCAAGTTTTGGGTCAATAAATGAAGTGTCTGGTATCAGTCATGCTCTGAGGGTGCAGACCTGATGCCTGAAAGCTTGACCAGGAGGAGGGTGTGTTTTGGATTGGGGGGTCCATTAGCCTTGGGTATCGTTCATAAAATACAAATAACCCTATTAAAAATGTGTAATGTTAGGCAGCAATCTCAGAAATTCACTTTGCTTTACGTATTTATCAGTCTCTCGTTAAAATGGAGAGCTACGTGGAGAGCGAACCAATAGTGTAAAGCAAAGTACAGGAAGTGTGCCCTGTGCTTTGACCTCACTGCCTGTGACGCAGCTCGCCCAAATTAGTCATGGGCACATCCAGCGCAGACTGAGTTAACAGTCTAACATGTCCCTTTAGCCCCTTTAAAGAGTGCTGGAATTCTTTGAATCTTATATCACTTTCTGATTTAATGTTTGGAGTCTGTTTCCATTTAATCAGATCGATCAAAGGGGTCGGATTACAATATAGTGGTTATTATTATTCAACACTAGCCCAGACTCTGCTGCAACACCGCCACCTCTTGGCTGCACCTCGTACTGAATTATGTATTATTTCACATGATTTTAGTGTTAATCAAATCAATGCGGCATCATTCCTCTATTAAATGGGAGACGTCCCTTCTCAGAAAGTTGGGCCGTTGAATAAAACACTTACAATCTCCTATAACTTGTTATGCCCATCTTTTCATGGGATGCTTAGCTTTTATATCAAAGATTTCGAGAAATTCCATCATAATCCGGTCCAGACAAGGTTCCAGGTGTGAAGGACAGAGCTTCTAGCAATGACTGAGAGGGAGCTAAGATGGAGGCACCCAGTTACAGTGTAATGAGGGTGGATTTCTGTATTTCATTTTATTTTTCGAGTCTGTTACATAATAAGTGAACATACTATTTAACATCCTGGGAAGGGACAGACCCCTTTTAAAGTATAATCCTTAAGAGCTCACATCACATCTAATGTAAAACCGTTTATTAAACAGCAGCTTGTGGCAGGAACCGACCGACCATAACCACTTCAGCTCATATTATTACAGCTCGTGTTGTGGTTATGCTGCCTGAGTGTATGGATGCTCCTTGTCTGGGTGTATGGCAAATGTATGATACACTTTCAAAATGATTTAATAATTCATAACTCATTGAAAATAGAGGCCATAGTCAGACTAAACACAGAAAACTTTTCTAACCGTATTAAATTTAGTCTGTATTTTGCTCTAAAAAAAAAACTATAAATGTGCAATAATTTAAATTGTTCTTAAAACAGGACAATAAAAAGTCCCCCCTCTTCCTGTAATACCGCTGACCGCGATTGTTTTACAATGCAGTCACACGACATCGTAGTTTGACTGAGTAGAATAAGATGAAACCTTTATACACATATTATTTAAACACGCTTTGTAATTAGCAATATTTTTAAACAGGTCGACGTGTACATGGTTGTTTACTACAATGAACATTGTTGGGAATTCAGTGAATGTAAACATTTATTCCTGAAAAATTCTCTGCATAAAATATTTTATTTTGGCTTAAATTTGAAATTCACTCTCTCAATTTATGATGAATTCCCAGCAATTCTCACTTTATAAAAAGGTTAATTATCTAAACATTCTAGGCCTCACTCTGTATTCGATGGACGTCAACGTCCCTGCTAATACCACAGACACATCTCACACAGTAAGACACTCTGAATATCTCTATTTTGCACGAAGGGGGATTCCTTACATCAAAAACAAACCACAGAAAATAATTTAATCACATAAATTTGTGCGTCAGATTCATGTTAAACACCAATGGCCTTAACATTGGTTCCTGTACTCGGGTTTCTAGGATAGTCCGAACACACACACACACACAGACACACAGTATTTATTATGTTCACCCGGAGGTTGGTATGTTAATGCACTCACATTGGTTACAAGACCTTTGTGCACCAAGATGGCTAATTTAAGGTGCCATTAGGCTACACCAATGTTGGCTTTAGGTCTTCTTTGAAGTTTACGACCGGTTGCTGAGACCATCCAAACAGCTGCTCTGTAGTCTCTGTCTCAGAGTTACAGCTGTCGCTCGAGTCATATGCAGTTGGAAAACACAGTTCACAGTAGGGTCTGTGACAATAGCAGAAGGTTTCCTCCGAACTGCTTGAGTCTGTCTCTGTAAAATAAGTTTGTGATTGTATCTCAGCAAAAGTCACCAAACCATATGCCTCCTGTCCTAAGGGGCTGCTCCTTCTAACAGGAACAGGTCTGCTTGAACAGTCTGGGACAGGCCTCAAAGACTTTGTGGTTAAAAGTACACCTTTGTTGTCTTTGATCTTCTGCTCATCTTCCACCTGATCACCCAAATCTGTGGTCTGAGTTTTGGAAAGCGGGTTAATATAGGCAGGGTAACTTGTATGATCTTCTGCCTTACTGACCATGACCTGCCTCTCATCTCTCATTCTTCGGACCCCATTAAATCTGTTCTTGCTGCATTTGTCCAGGAGGTACCCAGCAGATGGAGGCACTGAGCTGGTAAAGTGAAAGGAAGGATGCCGGTTTTGTGGGATGTATCCATTACCTCGCCTACTACACACCAGGGAAGGGGACAAACTCACACTCTCTTTCCGAAGCCTCCCAGAAGAATGTGCTGGAGTATCCATGTGGACACTGTGACTGGCCCTTCTTTGTCTTTTTGGAGATTGACAACCAAAGCTTGGCAGAGTTTCTATACTGAGTTCCTTCAGAATCTCTTGCAGTTTGTCACTGCTAACATAGTTAATGTGTCTTGATAAGTGTTCCCAATCTTCATGAGTACTCTGTCCCTGTCTCTCTGGGCTGTGGCATTGATGTGACATTTTGTTTATAATGTTAATGTCTTTAGAGTTGCTTGGTAATACATGAGGTGTGGAGGAGCAACCAGAAGGGACAGGATCATTACACTCTAATTCATGTTTGACCTTCATTGGGTCAAGGGAGACATCAGTGTGTTTTTCAGTAGAAACATCTGAGGATTTCTCAATTTCCGCCTCATGACTCTGGTGTTCTCCTTTTCCAATAGTAGTTGTTGTATTGTTGGTTGGTTCAGATGTGGAAACATCAATGTGTTGGTGGGGCAATGTTGAAGCAGGGGGAGCAGATACAATACCCGCTTCCATAGTCTCAAACCTCACTTCCGAATTCAGTAATTTTACCAACTTTTCCTTGGCACTGCTCACCTGCTCCTGAAGACTCTCGATTACTGCATTTTTCTGTTGGAAAATTCAAACAACAATACTGTCACAGGCAGAAGAACATCTAGCAGAACTCATCATGATCAAGTTCAATACATTGTAGACTATCAAAGACGCTAAACTCGGCAAGTATGGAGCATGCAGAGAGATGTGTACACGGTGGAATCACAGGGAACTGATATCAATGTGTACACGGTGGAATCACAGGGAACTGATATCAATGTGTACATGGTGGAATCACAGGGAACTGGAACAGTGATACACAGAAAGAAATGGCAGAGGAGGTTCACTAATTTGGGAATTGTGGATAAAGACAAGAAAATGAATCGGCAAATGTTTCAAATTTGAGTATTATTGGCTAAAATTAGCAATTCACTGTTCAATTCTCCACATTCTGGATTTGTGAATAAACTCGAGTGAGACTGTAGTGGTGAACGACCCAAATTCTCACACCTGTAGGAAGCTCAAAGATCTAGACACACATGGAGGAGGTCCAGGCTTACCCATCATGGGTGGCACCAACCAGCTGACACAGAAACCTATATATATTATTCCAACAGATTTCCAATATACATAATATTGACAGACTACACAAATATATCATCCAAACAATGAGACAACACATTTATTTCAATAAATCGAGAAGCTCTCTTTTCTATGGCCCATAGAAGGAGACACAGGAAACAGGAGACATGCTGGTTTCCAACCACTTGGAGTGGTCAGGCCACGTGGTTAGCAACTCAACATGGAGTAGGGAAATTTTGACACAATTAGGTGGAATGGATTGGATGAACTGGAATTGGTTGGATGAGGTAGAATTGGTTGGAATAGATAGTTAGATGAATGAGGTGTGTGACGGACAGCCTGGCACCCCGACAGGGTGCCTCCGCCAATCGATGCTCCTAGTGCTCACCGAGTACTTCCTACACTCCACCAGACACTATCAGCACTGTAGTCCCCACTTCCAGCGTTACAGCTTGGTTGGGGGTCTTGCTGTCCTCCACCCACCCTGGCCCCAAGACCAGGATCCAGCTGCCAGTTGGTAGACCTCTCCTAGTCCAGTGAGCAAAGCAGGCTGCTCTTACAAGACCAGTGATTATAATCCCAGGGGAGTATAGTGAAAAATAGTTCCATGAACTCGACTACCAAACACTGCTGCCTGTGTTCATGCGTACAAGATGGCTGCCACCTTGTGGTCGTCCATAGGAATTGCGGCCACCCAGGTGAACACTTAGAACACCCTGGTGGAAAGTGTTACAAACTGACAATTAGGCTTAACAAGCTCCCAGTGGTCTCTGGTTCATGTGGTTGTTTGGTAACCGAACCATACAATCCCAATTGCACAAACAGTCTTTTTAAAGTATTTTAGCCAGGTCTATTGCAGGGGCTATAGTCCTGGGACAGGAGGCTGGCAAGCAGGCTCCTCCAAAAGCCCATCGCGAGATTCGCCACAAGGTGAATTGGGTTGGAAGACATGGAAAGGGTTTGGATCAGTGCAATATTTTGGAAGAGCATGAGTTAGGTGGATGAAGTGGCATTGACTGAAGTGGGGAAGATGGGCGATGTCTTGTGGTATAATTTGTTGTATTTTCGGGCATGTGACCAGGGTGGAGGATTAAGGTGTGAGTTTGTAGAAGGCAGACTTACCTCACTAAGAAGTCTTCTCATTGATGTGTTCTCCCCAAGCAGCTGGTATATCTGTTCCTCACTGTACATGGATCTGAAGCTCCGGCTCGGGCTGTTAAAATATTTGGCCATCTGTACCGTGCTCTGACTTTGTTCCTCCTCAAATTGTCTCCACTGCAGTAGCTGAGGGGCAGACAATCAAAGAGCTAATTATTACCTTAAACACATTCAGACAGCTATGATTGAACATTATGTGGTCAATTTGTGAATTTTCTATATCAAGGAGTTCTAAATGCAATCATGGCCACAATCCAGGACACAGACCTAACAACCACTTCCTGCTCACACATTTTAGCATCTAACAAAGTCTTTTTTTTTTTTTTTTTAATTAATGAGGAGCGTCTTTGGGAGAAACATAAATTACAAATCGTAAACCTCATCAGGGTCATTTACTAAACTATAGACCTTTTTCAATTGAGAATTGAGATGCATTTAACGATAGTTAAATTTACCAAACATTCAGCATGGTCAAATGTTTTTTCCCCCCACATATTTTTGTCTTATTTAAAAAAAAAAAAAAGGCAACATTGAAATGAAAAATGAGGCAAAAAGTTTTAAAACCTTATATGTTCGAATGAAATATAAATTTGAATGCAGCAAGTTGGTGGTAGAAGCGATCACCTAACTGCTAAATATAGTAATGAATAGTTACAGTAACCCAGTGAGTAATTTGAATTGTGATAGATACTCTAACACCTTAGTGAGTTTCCCTTAGATCGCACAGTAAACAGAAATATACATACAATATAAGGTGGAGTATCCTTCTTATTATGGTTTAAGATAGTTCTTAGACAGGTATCGTCCTAAAAATGAAATATAGAAAGATGAACAATATTGCCAATCTTATAAAGTAAAGTCCAGATAGAAGGTGGAAATGCACTCACAAGCGTGGAGCCAATGAATAAGGCTCAAACTTCCAGCTCTGTGGAATATAGAGGTTCGCACTTCCTTCTTTATGCTGATAGGAGGTCTCAAGTAATTGTATTTCCTCTCAATAGTAGGTATAAGTATAAAGTGCTTTATTGTAAAGTGGACAAACCAGTATAAAATTTGAATAAATAAAATAAAAACCTTACAATTTGAAGGTAAGTCCTTAGTAAAGTCCTTTATGGTGCAAAACGTGTTTCGCCTCGTTACAAGGCTTCCTCAGTTGCTGCTGTATTATGTTGCCCGTGAGTTTCCTTTTAAATAGTCCATAATTGGCGGTTTCTTGCTGGCGTCGATTTGTGTTAAACTTCCACTTCCGGGTTTTGCGTTCCATCGGTGGAACGCATACGTCAATTCTTTTGTATTGGGACGCATCCTTGCGTTCCACTGCGATCGTGAACTGTTAATGCGTTCTTTCACAGTCATCTTCGGAGCGTGTGATATTGAAGTAGTTCATAATAAGACCATTTTGAGTAATGAAAAGGCAAAAAGCTAAATAAAACTTAAGTAGATATTACAATTCTTATATCAAAAGGTAATATTCATAATATTAGAACAGGGATGAGAGTAAGTAGTAAGCAATATGGATATAAGAAGGAGTTATGCCTCAATATTGGGTTAAAGGTATAGTGCCTGAAAAAATAGATTGGTATCTTTATCATGGTGGAACAAGAGGAGAGTACTGATAGATAATGTTAATACAGAAAATTGTTTTTTAGGAGAAATATGACAATGCAAATTGCCTTTGTGTATATATAAAACGGCTAGACATAAAAGTAAACTTGAAAAATGGTAAGGTAGTGCTTACAAATTATATTTCACCAAAAAAACTATTTTCTGTATTAACATTATCTATCAGTACTCTCCTCCTGTTCCACCATGATAAAGATACCAACCTTTTTTTTTCAGGCACTATACCTTTACTAGAGCTGTAGTCTCTAATGAGACAGAGAGGGGTATTTTTTATATACACCCCATATACTTATTAACCCTTAATAGGGAACACATGGGATGGGCGGCAGCATTGTAACAAGGCTGTGTGACACAAAGTAAATACAAATACAAAAAGAGAAGTCCTGCGCTCACTCCCATCACTACTGGGCCGGCAGCAATGACTACAGTACACATCAGCCCCTCTCTGTCTCATTAGAGATATCTTTGCTTGAAGATCAAGGAAGCAAGGTGAAGGGTCACTGTAGGACCCGCTTAGGGGGTCTGCCTTGACGTTGGCAGACGGGCATTCCCTCCAATGGCTTTTGGAACAACTAAATGACCTCCATTTGTCTAAATATACAAAGAGATTAAGGAGAGAGCACAGGTAACTTTTTCTTTTCTTTGGTTTTTACTATACCTTTAACCCAATATTGAGGCATAACTCCTTCTTATATCCATATTGCTTACTACTTACTCTCATCCCTGTTCTAATATTATGAATATTACCTTTTGATATAAGAATTGTAATATCTACTTAAGTTTTATTTTGCTTTTTGCCTTTTCATTACTCAAAATGGACTTATTATGAACTACTTCAATATCACACGCTCCGAAGATGACTGTGAAAGAACGCATTAACAGTTCATGATCGCAGTGGAACACAAGGATGCGTCCCAATCAGGGCCGGATTAACATAGGGGCTGATGGAGCTGCAGCTCCAGGCCCTGGCCCATGGAATAGGCCCAATTTAAAAGAAGAAAAAGAAAAAGTTTAATTTTTATTATTTTTATTTATTTTTTCCTCCTGACTGGTATTTTAAGGCACAGCCTGTATTTGAGGCTGCCTAGCCGTGCTGGTATTGCAGTAATACCGGCAATATAAATGCAAATATTTTTCTCAGTATAAACGGAGATTACTCTGCAATGCCAGCACCGGCCAGCAGGGGTCACTGTGTGTGGAGAGAGGCAGGGATAGGAAGTTACAGCATATCCCTCCCTGCCTCTCTCTACTACTCACTGATACACAGGGGAGCAGCTACACAGCACAGAGAGTCCAGACAGCAGCTTCCAGCCTGCAGAGACAGCCTACAGCTCAGGGAAGTGAGGGATGAGGGGAAAGGCATCAGGGAGACACAGGGACACTGAGACACTAGGGGACACTGGTAGACGTGGGGACACTGAGACACTAGGGGACACTGTGAGACATGGGGACGCTGTGAGAAATAGGTAGACACATTGGGACACATGTCTCCCAGTGTCCCTATGCCTCCCAGCCAGTGTCCCTAGTTTCTCAGTGTCCCCATAGCTCCCAGTATCCTCATGCTTCCCAGCCAGTGTCCCTAGTTTCTCAGTGTCCCCATAGCTCCCAGTATCCCCATGCTTCCCAGCCAGTGTCCCCATGGCTCCCAGTGTCCCCATGGCTCCCATTGTCCCCATATGTCTGTGTCCCTATGTCTCCCAGTGTCCACATGTCTCTCAGCCAGTGTCTGTGTCCCCATGTTTCCCAGTGTCTCTATGTCTCCCAGCTAGTGTCTCAGTGTCCCCATGTCTTCCAGTGTCTGTGTCCCCATGTCTCCCAGTGTCTGCGTCGCCATGTCTCTGTGTCCCTAGTGTCTGTGACCCCATTTCTCCCAGTGTCCCCAAATGTCTGTGTCTCCATGTCTGTGTCCCCATGTCTGTATCCACAAGTGCCCCCATGTCTCCCAGTGTCCTCAAGTGTCTCAGTGCCCCCATGTCTCCAAGTGTCCCCGTGTCTCTGTGTCCACATGTATCCTAGTGACACGGGACACACTGAGACATGGGGACACAGGCAGAAATGGGGACACAGACACTGGGAAACTAGGGGACAGGGCGACATGGGGACACTGACACTGTGATGCATAGGGACACTGATGCCAGGCTGGCCTTCCAATTCTTTGGACAGACATACCCTCTTTTTGGACATGTTTGCCCCTTCTGGCAGTTCTGGACATGTGATTCGCATCAGTGGCCTACTCTTTTACCCCGCCCATTGGCTTCCTGCTTCACTGGACACTGCTGTTAGGGGTTATGGATTTACTTGAAAGATGAAAGCATAAATTAGATAAAGAGATTAGCACAGAGTGTGTGTTTTCTTATAGCTGCATCCTTTGAGTTTCCCTCCAACACCAACTCCATCAGATACATGACGCTTGGGAGGTATGACCGTTTTAGTGTTTTTTGTCGATAAGATTCTGTAATTAGGCCCCATCATAATTGTCAGCACCAGGCCCACTGGGCTCTTAATCCGGCCCTGGTCCCAATACAAAAGAATTGACGTATGCGTTCCACTGATGAAGAAACCGCCAATTATGGACTATTTAAAAGGAAACTCACGGGCAACATAATACAGCAGCAACTGAGGAAGCCTTGTAACGAGGCGAAACGCGTTTTGCACCATAAAGGACTTTACTAAGGACTTACCTTCAAATTGTAAGGTTTTTATTTTATTTATTCAAATTTTATACTGGTTTGTGCACTTTACAATAAAGCACTTTATACTTATACCGACTATTGAGAGGAAATACAATTACTTGAGACCTCCTATCAGCATAAAGAAGGAAGTGCGAACCTCTATATTCCACAGAGCTGGAAGTTTGAGCCTTATTCATTGGCTCCACGCTTGTGAGTGCATTTCCACCTTCTATCTGGACTTTACTTTATAAGATTGGCAATATTGTTCATCTTTCTATATTTCATTTTTAGGACGATACCTGTCTAAGAACTATCTTAAACCATAATAAGAGGGATACTCCACCTTATATTGTATGTATATAACTGCTAAATATTCATTTGCCAGACAATGGGTGGAGAAATAGGAGTGCAATGGAGTTGCAGTATGAGGCTCTGGGGTCCAGAGGATGGCTTGCATTATTTTATAACCTCCTCTCATGCTGCAAATAATGTGAGAGAATGCAGGGTGTGTTGTATTAATGGAACATTCAGCGTGATCTCTAAATCTGATCACTATTAGTTAATAGCGGGATTGGTTTATATCTGAAATGTACTTTTTTTAGTGGCACATTCTAAATGACCTCAGCTCTATTTAAATTACATAATAGTCCACATGATGTATCCCTTAAAGCGATCAACTAACAGCTTGCAGACTATAAGACATTGTTTCTTCCAGTTCCCTTACCTGTGGGATGAAGATCAAGCAGGTGATGGTGGTGGTACAGATGAGGATGCTTCCAGATGTAACGCCATAGACCAGGTTCGGCCATGTATGAAAGTAATGACTGATCAGGAAGACAATCCCTGTACCCAGCACCACAAGGGCAGTGCCAACCATGATGGCCAGTGACTGATTGACGGGTGGACTGCTGATATTGTTTGTCAGGCCAGCCAGGTAACTGCCATAAATAACAAGGGCTCCCTGAAATAGGGAAGATTAAAAACAGACTATGAAATAAATGTGAAACCATTTTGAACAAACGTAGAGTGTGAATGCAGATAAAGACCATCAGCCCATCTAGTTTGCCCACAATATGAAAATCAGGCGAGTTTTACTTCTTTGTTCCTCAGGAAATCCTTATATGCATCAATAGCAGGCTTCAATTTCTTTACTGCGTTCGAAGAGCAAACCGGTCCTGAGTCGAAACCATTCAATTACACACAAACAGAGCCATACGCAAACACCAGATACTGTCCGAATAGACAACGTTTAATGAAAATGGCTGAATTCTGGCCAAATTGTGACATATCACATTGACTAAAATCAATTCATGTCATTCAAACTCTAAACTAAGTATAGGATCTGGAATCTTTACCAAGCACCAATTTAAAGGGACACTATAGGCACCCCAACCACTTCAGCTTATTGAAGTAGTCTGGGTGTAGTGTCACAGTGCCCTTATCCCTGCAATTGTAATAACTGCAGTTATTGATTGACTAAAATACTTACCTTGCAAGGTTAACTCCACCTCTAGTGGCTGTCTACCAAACAGCCACTAGAGGGACTTCTGGGTGGTTAGGGAGGTTGGTCGCCTAACTGACTGTAGCGGAGACGATTTTATTCACAAGCTCCAGTATTTATGTGGTTCCCCATGCAAGGGGTTTTCCTTACTGACTTTACTTTAGGGGTTGTACAGTAGGGGACTTCATGGGGGACTTAACATACAGAACATTTCTCCCAGCATGCACTGCTGTACGAGAGGGATACTCCCACAAGAATATCCTGTTAAGTAGATTATCCCTCCGTACAGCAGAAACGACTTTTCACATAAAAATCCGTAACTTACATATTATTCGTGCCATTGTACCGAATGACCGTTTGGCAGATAGCTGGGGTCTGAGCGCATACTTCATGAAAGTACCACTCAGATCCCAGCACAATCAGCCGAACACCGCACGAAATACACTTCAATATACATTCCTCATAAAAGTCACGAATACACAAGTGGAGAAAAAGTACCGAAAGACCGGCGCTTCCGAACGGCCTGATAGTCCAGCGGTGTTCGTGCCGTTAAGTAGCCGATTTTAGTTCCAGGCACTCGACGACCAAACACCGCTGGGCAAAAAGGGAATCCAAAAATGGAGTCGGCAATCAGACAGTGAGTAAAGAAATTCTGCCACCCTACACGTTTCGTCTATTTGACTTCGTCAGGGGCAAATGGCAAATAACATGATATTGTTATTATTATTATTATTATTATACATGTTATGTATAATGTTATTTGCGTAGGGTGGCAGAATTTCTTTACTCACTGTCTGATTGCCGACTCCATTATCGTTTTGCCTTCAGTCTTGATTGTACATGTACTTTCTTCTGGACTTTGAAGACGCCTTACGATCTGATGGGCTTTTTTGCTTCTTTTATCTTGTAAGCGGAACCAATAAAGCAATTCTTTTTTAACATACAGTTACACACTATGGTTTGCTCTTCTGTTTTGTCTTAAAGTTTCTTAGTGGAACAAAGAAGAACAAAGGAATTTGAACAAGATTCATTTATTCCGCTCATTTTATCCTACGTTTGTGAGTGTATCTTAGTATTTTTAGATAGTTTATTTTTACTTTTTACCTGCACTATTGTGGTCTTTCTGTGTTCTATATATTTTAGGTTTTGCATTTTTATATTTTGCCTACAATTAAGAAGACCCTGAGGAATCTTCGCACTTACTTTTAAGGGGTAATTTAAACCTATTTCCCCCCCTTTTTTAGCCACACAGGTATTTTTTGCAGTTTCGCATAATTTTTGGTTTTATATAAGGGTTGAAAAGAAACTCAGAGTCAGGAAACAAAGCCAAGGTCAATACCAGAATACAATACTAATCACAAGGAATGCTCTAAAGGGTACTGGGAACAGAAATCACAATAGGGCACAGAATCTAGGGCCAGGTAAGTTTAAATACCTTTTATTTTTAATTTGATTGGTCCACGTCATGCCTGTGCCCCAAAACGTGCGTGAATGGGGGCGCCGGAATGATCTGGGCCAATGGGAGCCGACCGCAAGGTTAGGCTCCCATTTCTCCTTTAAGAATGTGGTCTCGAACGTGCTTATAGTGTCCCTTTAAAATTGGTGCTTATCTTAATAGCCCCCATTCGTGTGAAGCAGGTGGGGGCTGGAGGAGGACACAATTTCCCTCTCCGTTTATTATCTTAATGGTTGCTCCACCATGGGGGCATCGGGACCTTTTTGCATGGACCTCTTTATTGGATTGGGGGGGTCATTTTTACAACAATGAGCAGCAACTGTCAGCACAGCGAGTAGGGGTATAAGGGAGACTTTAACCTCCCTTATGCTAATATGGGGGTCATATTGACCCCGATAAAGTGTGGGAGTGGGCATGGAGAGGTTTTAGGAACTTACATTTATACATATTACAAGGAGGGAGCCAGTAGCTGCCTGCTTGTAATAAACTAAACAAACGAAGGAAGACTGAATTGTAATTCAGTTTTCATTCCTTCTTTGTAATTTATATTTGTCTTTTTGACAAATAGACGAATAACCAAAATTGGGTGTGAAAATCGACCAATAACAAATACCCAATTGTACAACTGGGCATGCATGCAAATTTCACAGCACAAACTAGTGTGGGCAGAAGAAGCCCACGCGAGACACGTCATCCAGGATACACAAAGATAGTGGCGCCTAGGACATAGATTCAGAGAAGAAATAAAGAGGTGAAAGTAGGTGAAATGGGGGACTTAAAGGCATGTAAGGGTGACTAGAGGGAGCATGAAATGTAGAAGAGTCGGGAGGAGGCTTAACAAAAGAAACGGATTCCGCTTTAAATAGTTTGAAGAATGTATTGGTCCATGGCCCTGCACGGCACCAAGTGGTTTTGACCCATTTGTTACGGGGCCATTTCGCCTTTAGTATATAACCTTGTAAGAGTGTGCTTGTACTCAAATATGAATCATTCACATTCTATGACTAGAAAGTTTACATTTTCGAACTAAGCTTTATTTTAACTTTTACTCAATTTAAATGATTCTCTGATCTGATGATTTTCACCATGAACAGAAAGCTCAATGACTTAGTAAAGCCGCCCCGGACATCAGACGCTGTGTGGTTACTGTTTGTGCTCCCATGTACTACAAAAGTACAACATTCTTAATTCAATCCAACAAGATGCCAAACAGTGTGTCAAAGGTATACACACAAGATCCAAAACCCAACGCGTTTCATGCATCACCACACGTACAAGGTTATTATCAGTATCCCACACATAAAGAAATCCATCCACCAGTGGCATCACCCATATAAACACAGCATAAATAGAAACCATAACATAGCTCCGTAGTTCTCTTTGCAATACAGATATTATTATTATTATTATTATTATTGCCATTTATATAGCGCCAACAGATTCCGTAGCACTTTACAATATTATATTAATGAAGTTCGTGTTTGCATTTTTATGTTTTTTTTCTTTTACCTTAAAACCCCCAAGAATGCCAATCCAGAGATCAGCGTAGACCGAGGCGCAGATGTTTATCCTGGTGACGGCACAGGATGTCCCTCGATCTGCAGACTGGGCACAGAAACAGTGTGAGCTTTAAAGCAGATATTGGTAACAGTAAATAAATTACTAATATTGCTTCATGGTGTACTGATCCAAGAATTGTATAGTATAGTGAGTAATGATCCCTGCATTGTATAACATAGTGAGTAATGATCCCTGCATTGTATAGTATAGTGAGTAATGATCCTGGTATTGTATAGTATAGTGAGTACTGATCCCTGCATTGTATAGTATAGTGAGTAATGATCCCTGCATTGTATAGTATAGTGAGTAATGATCCTGGTATTGTATAGTATAGTGAGTAATGATCCTGGTATTGTATAGTATAGTGAGTACTGATCCCTGCATTGTATAGTATAGTGAGTAATGATCCCTGCATTGTATAGTATAGTGAGTAATGATCCCTGCATTGTATAGTATAGTGAGTAATGATCCCTGAATTGTATAGTATAGTGAGTAATGATCCTGGTATTGTATAGTATAGTGAGTAATGATCCTGGTATTGTATAGTATAGTGAGTACTGATCCCTGCATTGTATAGTATAGTGAGTACTGAACTCTGTATTATATAGTATAGTGAGTACTGATACCTGTATGGTATAGTATAGTGAGTACTGATCCTGGTATTGTATAGTATAGTGAGTAATGATCCTGGTATTGTATAGTATAGTGAGTACTGATCCCTGCATTGTATAGTATAGTGAGTAATGATCCTGGTATTGTATAGTATAGTGAGTAATGATCCCTGCATTGTATAGTATAGTGAGTAATGATCCTGGTATTGTATAGTATAGTGAGTACTGATCCCTGCATTGTATAGTATAGTGAGTAATGATCCCTGCATTGTATAGTATAGTGAGTAATGATCCCTGCATTGTATAACATAGTGAGTAATGATCCCTGCATTGTATAGTATAGTGAGTAATGATCCTGGTATTGTATAGTATAGTGAGTACTGATCCCTGCATTGTATAGTATAGTGAGTAATGATCCCTGCATTGTATAGTATAGTGAGTAATGATCCCTGCATTGTATAACATAGTGAGTAATGATCCCTGCATTGTATAGTATAGTGAGTAATGATCCTGGTATTGTATAGTATAGTGAGTACTGATCCCTGCATTGTATAGTATAGTGAGTAATGATCCCTGCATTGTATAGTATAGTGAGTAATGATCCCTGCATTGTATAACATAGTGAGTAATGATCCCTGCATTGTATAGTATAGTGAGTAATGATCCTGGTATTGTATAGTATAGTGAGTAATGATCCCTGCATTGTATAGTATAGTGAGTAATGATCCTGGTATTGTATAGTATAGTGAGTACTGATCCCTGCATTGTATAGTATAGTGAGTAATGATCCTGGTATTGTATAGTATAGTGAGTACTGATCCCTGCATTGTATAGTATAGTGAGTACTGAACTATGTATTATATAGAATAGTGAGTACCGATACCTGTATGGTATAGTATAGTGAGTAATGATCCCTGTATTGTATAGTATAGTGAGTAATGATACCTGTATTGTATAGTATAGTGAGTAATGATACCTGTATTGTATAGTATAGTGAGTAATGATCATGGTATTGTATAACATAGTGAGCAATGATCCCTGTATTGTATAGTATAGTGAGTAATTATCCTAGTATTGTATAGCATAGCGAGTACTGAGCCCTGCATTGTATAGTATAGTGAGTACTGATCCCAGTATTGTATAGTATAGTGAGAAATGATCCCAGTATTGTATAGCATAGTAAGTAATGATCCCAGTATTGAATAGTATAGTGAGTACTGAACTCTGTATTATATAGTATAGTGAGTACTGATCCCTGCATTGTATAGTATAGTGAGTAATGATCCGTGTATTGTATAGTATAGCGAGTAATGATCCTGGTATTGTATAGTATAGTATAGTGAGTACTGATACCTATATTGTATAGTATAGTGAGTAATGATCCTGGTATTGTATAGTATAGTGAGTACTGATCCCAGTATTGTATGATATAGTGAGTACTGATACCTGTATTGTATGATATAGTGAGTAATGATCATGATATTGTATAGTATAGTGAGTAATGATCCCTGCATTGTATAGTATAGTGAGTAATGATCCCTGCATTGTATAATATAGTGAGTAATGATCCTGGTATTGTATAGTATAGTGAGTAATGATCCTGGTATTGTATAGTATAGTGAGTAATGATCCCTGCATTGTATATTATAGTGAGTAATGATCCTGGTATTGTATAGTATAGTGAGTACTGATCCCTGCATTGTATAGTATAGTGAGTAATGATCCCTGTATTGTATAGTATAGTGAGTAATGATCCTGGTATTGTATAGTATAGTGAGTAATGATCCCTGCATTGTATAGTATAGTGAGTACTGATCCCAGTATTGTATAGTATAGTGAGTAATGATCCTGGTACAGTGATATATTGTATAGTAGTAATGATCCCTGGTATTGTATAGTATAGTGAGTACTGATCCCAGTATTGTATGTATAGTGAGTAATGATCCCTGTATTGTATGATATAGTGAGTACTGATCCCAGTATTGTATGTATAGTGAGTACTGATCCCAGTATTGTATGATATAGTGAGTACTGATCCCAGTATTGTATGATATAGTGAGTACTGATCCCAGTATTGTATGATATAGTGAGTACTGATCCCTGTATTGTATGATATAGTGAGTACTGATCCCTGTATTGTATGATATAGTGAGTACTGATCCCAGTATTGTATGATATACTGAGTAATGATCCCAGTATTGTATGATATAGTGAGTACTGATCCCTCTATTGTATTATTGTATGATATAGTGAGTACTGATCCCTGTATTGTATGATATAGTGAGTACTGTTCCCTGTATTGTATGATATAGTGAGTACTGATCCCTGTATTGTACAGTGTAGCGAGTACTGATCCCAGTATTGTACAGTGTAGTGAGTAATGCTCCCTGTTAGTGAATACAGTGTAGTGAGTAATGCTCCCTGTTAGTGAATACAGTGTAGTGTGTAATGCTCCCTGTTAGTGAATACAGTGTAGTGAGTAATGCTCCCTGTTAGTGAATACAGTGTAGCGATGTTTGAAGTGCAGGAAGCAGTTTGTAGTTAAATAATGGGGGTTTCAATCAGAGGGACTAGACACAGATTATGTAAAAAGACTAATTTTGGAGCAAAGTTCTGTAAGTGGAGCGGTTGCCAAGGAAACTGATGACATGTTCATGCTGATTGCTCGTGTTAATCATTCTTTATAAATAATTCTGAGACTCACTCACGCAGTTACAGGACAGAGCGTATATCAATGGCTGACAGGGAGCTAAGATGGAGACGCCCAGTTACAGGACAGAGCGTATAACAATGGCTGACGGGGAGCTAAGATGGAGACGCCCAGTTACAGGACAGAGCGTATAACAATGGCTGACGGGGAGCTAAGATGGAGACGCGCAGTTACAGGACAGAGCGTATATCAATGGCTGACGGGGAGCTAAGATGGAGACGCCCAGTTACAGGACAGAGCGTATAACAATGGCTGACGGGGAGCTAAGATGGAGACGCCCAGTTACAGGACAGAGCGTATAACAATGGCTGACGGGGAGCTAAGATGGAGATGCCCAGTTACAGGACAGAGCGTATAACAATGGCTGACAGGGAGCTAAGATGGAGATGCCCAGTTACAGGACAAAGCGTATAACAATGGCTGACGGGGAGCTAAGATGGAGACACCCAGTTACAGGACAGAGTGTATAACAATGGCTGACGGGGAGCTAAGATGGAAACGCCCAGTTACAGGACAGAGCGTATAACAATGGCTGACAGGGAGCTAAGATGGATACGCCCAGTTACAGGACAGAGCGTATAACAATGGCTGACAGCGAGCTAAGATGGAAACGCCCAGTTACAGGACAGAGCGTATAACAATGGCTGACAGGGAGCTAAGATGGAGACGCCCAGTTACAGGACAGAGCGTATAACAATGGCTGATGGGGAGCTAAGATGGAGACGCCCAGTTACAGGACAGAGCGTGTAACAATGGCTGACAGAGAGCTAAGATGGAGACGCCCAGTTACAGGACAGAGCGTATAACAATGGCTGACAGGGAGCTAAGATGGAGACGCCCAGTTACAGGACAGAGCGTATAACAATGGCTGACGGGGAGCTGAGATGGAGGCGTCCAGTTACAGGACAGAGCGTATAACAATGGCTGACGGGGAGCTAAGACGGAGGCGCCCAGTTACAGGACAGAGCGTATAACAATGGCTGACAGGGAGATGGAGACGCCCAGTTACAGGACAGAGCGTATAACAATGGCCGACGGGGAGCTAAGACGGAGGCGCCCAGTTACAGGACAGAGCGTATAACAATGGCCGACGGGGAGCTAAGACGGAGACGCCCAGTTACAGGACAGAGCGTATAACAATGGCCGACGGGGAGCTAAGATGGAGGCGCCCAGTTACAGTACAGAGCGTATAACAATGGCCGACGGGGAGCTAAGATGGAGACACCCAGTTACAGTACAGAGCGTATAACAATGGCCGACGGGGAGCTAAGATGTAGGCGCCCAGTTACAGGATAAAGCGGTGTGGACGGCATGGTGAACAAGAAAAGAATCAGACTATGGTACAAGAAGGAAATCTGCGATTTCATTGTCTGATTCCTCGTCTTGTAATACTCTGCCCTCTGAATATATTATTATCATTTCACATGGTCTGAATCGCTGGATGCTAATACCAATTATTATCTGTAACTAATTCTGCGCTCTCAAAATAAAGTATTAAAACATTATTAACACAAGTTATAGGTCATTTCCAATATATTATTATAACTGACAGTTTCTCTGTAATGATGGGATATTTAATATATTTTTTAAAACCCCATGAATGCGCTTCCTAATAAATTATGCCAAAATACTGTTTGTGAATGGACTCTCACTCACCACTCTCTTATCCGGGACGCGGTGTGAAAACACTCTGTGGAGTCTCCAACTCTTCCCCAACAGTGGCCCGAAGATTAGAGTGAGCCCCACATACAGGAGGCTGACTCTCACCTGGAACACAGAGATATCTGAGATTTAGACAATGTTTGGCGTGAAAGTCAGATCTGCCCACCAACACGTCACGGAGCAGACACCTTGCTCCATGTTCATCATTAACTGGAAAACCAACATGTAAATATAATTGTTATAACCAGAGCGAAATAACTCCCTAAATGATCTACAAAGAGTAGGAGGATCCATGTAGAATAGTGGGAAGGAGGGTGGGTGTAGGATAGGTGATTACAGGAAGCCGTGTGAAAGGTAGAGCAGTATTTCTGTTTTTGTGCGCTGTTCCTGTAGTTGTATTTTGTATATATTTTGATTGTTACGGCAGCCCCACTACTTGGAAATGTTCCGAGTGTGCCCCAATTCCCATTGTTTCTGGGTATAGCCAGGGTGAAAGCTATAGAGATACATTATAGCAGAGTGAATTGTGTAGCCTCCACGTACACTGCTCTGATGCAATACGGTTGTACTCACCTGGATGATAGTTTCCATGGAAACAGCAGGATCTTGGACCACAAATAGGAAGGCACTGATGTAACTGAGTGCGCTGCCCACTAAAATGACCAGGTTCAGATTGGGACTAGACATCTTCACAATCCTATGACAACATATCACAAAGCATTTACCATAAATACTCACACGGCCAGCGACGCACAGCATTCACTGCAAGAACCCACACTGCCAGCCACACACAGCGTTCACTGCACGTACCCACACTGCCAGCCATGCAAAGCATTCACTGCACGTACCCACACTGCCAGCGACGCACAGCATTCACTGCACGTACCCACACTGCCAGCCACACACAGCATTCACTGCACGTACCCACACTGCCAGCCACGCACAGCGTTCACTGCATGTACCCACACTGCCAGCCACGCACAGCGTTCACTGCAAGTACCCACACTGCCAGCCACGCACAGCGTTCACTGCAAGAACCCACACTGCCAGCCACGCACAGCGTTCACTGCAAGTACCCACACTGCCAGCCACGCACAGCGTTCACTGCAAGTACCCACACTGCCAGCCACGCACAGCGTTCACTGCAAGAACCCACACTGCCAGCCATGCACAGCGTTCACTGCATGTACCCACACTGCCAGCCACGCACAGCGTTCACTGTAAGTTCCCACATTCCCAGCCATGCACAGCATTCACTGCAAGTACCCACACTGCCAGCCACGCACAGCATTCACTGTAAGTTCTCACATTCCCAGCCACATTTACTATAAGTACTGACAGTGCTCCGCTACTAACCTGTTTCCTCTGAAGCGTAGGGTGAAGATGAAGAAGAAGATTGAGAGAAGAAGGCCACAGGTGAGAAGTGACCCAGACACCCCCAAGGCAGCCGTGGAAATGGGCACTCTTTCTAGTGGCTCCTGGAGAAGACAAACAGAGTCACAGTATGCAAACGACGTCACTGTATCCAAATATGATTATTAGAAAGCCAGATAAAGGTAATTTATTTAAACTTGCCCATTAGATTTTTAAATATTGGTTGACCACCTACTGTACCAGCTACTGTTATATCCAAGTGTATATTCCATATTTTTATATAACTTGTCATAACTCTTGGAGACGCCCAGTTACAGGACAGAGCGTATAACAATGGTTGACGGGGAGCCAAGATGGAGACATCCAGTTACAGGACAGAGCGTATAACAATGGCTGACAGCGAGCTAAGAGGGAGACGCCCAGTTACAGGACAGAGTGTATAACAATGGCTGACGGGGAGCTAAGATGGAAACGCCCAGTTACAGGACAGAGCGTATAACAATGGCTGACAGGGAGCTAAGATGGATACGCCCAGTTACAGGACAGAGCGTATAACAATGGCTGACAGGGAGATGGATACGCCCAGTTACAGGACAGAGCGTATAACAATGGCTGACGGGGAGCTGAGATGGAGGTGGCAAGTTACAGGACGGAGCGTATAACAATGGCTGACAGGAAGCTAAGATGGAGACACCCAGTTACAGGACAGAGCGTATAACAATGGCTGACAGGAAGCTAAGATGGAGACACCCAGTTACAGGACAGAGCGTATAACAATGGCTGACAGGGAGCTAAGATGGAGACACCCAGTTACAGGACAGAGCGTATAACAATGGCTGACGGGGAGCTGAGATGGAGGCGGCAAGTTACAGGACGGAGCGTATAACAATGGCTGACAGGAAGCTAAGATGGAGACGCCCAGTTACAGGACAGAGCGTATAACAATGGCTGACGGGGAGCTGAGATGGAGACGCCCAGTTACAGGACAGAGCTTATAACAATGGCTGACAGGAAGCTAAGATGGAGACACCCAGTTACAGGACAGAGCGTATAACAATGGCTGACAGCGAGCTAAGATGGAAACGCCCAGTTACAGGACAGAGCGTATAACAATGGCTGACAGGAAGCTAAGATGGAGACACCCAGTTACAGGACAGAGCGTATAACAATGGCTGACAGGGAGATGGAGACGCCCACTTACAGGATAAAGATCTGTAAATTTCGATATTTACACAGTTATTCACTAAAGTAAGAATTTAAAAGTGTTTTGCAAAGATAAGGCCAACATAGCCGAATTGGAAATAATCTCCGTTGGCTTTGCTTTCAGTTAGTTGACTTTGACCTCGAATTTGAAATTCTTCTTGAATTCACTTTTAATACTCCCTTTAGTAAAAAGCTCTGTTCATTTTATTTTTCCCATCTCACTAATTGGTTTTAATGTTTTTTGGTTTCTCTGATAATATACTGATTGCGTTAATCTCTTCACGCTCAGCACATATTGTGTAACAATTGTGTCCTCATTAATGTTGGATGATGTTGGGGAAATTTGGTCCTTACTTTAAATGCCCTGCACACTTCCTGGAGAACCCACAGAGCTTCCTCTCTGTCCAACGTGGAGGCCACATGGCTCTCAGCCAACAATTCAGAACAATTCAGGGCTGACTCCATCTCCTGACTTCCTTCACATCCATAGGCATTCAGGAAGCGGCATTCTTAGCTCATAGAGTCTCGCACTCAGCGACATGGAGGGCGCAATGGGTTTATGTCTTAATTCCACCAAATGTCATTACTGGTGAGGCGAAACCTAGAGAACCAGTGTTGGGCCCGCTGGAATCCCATTAGACTTTGCTTAGAATGATCTATGGAGCCACATGGAATTACAGTCTAATGGAAGTCAATGTGAATGGCACGTCTAACGCCATCATGAAACGCTGGATTCATTGAGATAAATGGTTACAATCCAAGGTGGTTTAAAATGGAGCTGGATGTTAACAGAAATTGACTGGGTGATCCTTCCCTGTGTATGTCCATGCAGTACCCCAGATTGTTCACTAGATGGCAGGCTACGTCATTGAGTCCTCGGGTTGGACTGGTCAGAGTGGAGTTCAATAGAAATTCTGAAAGAGAGACAGACAGTGAGATTCATGTAACAAATTATATTTATACAAAGCTTGTGAGCTGGCTGCTACTGCCATTCTGCCAATGGACTCCAACTCACAGCAAGCTGAGGGAGCTTTTTGGCTAAAGCCCTGCACTTTGCCTAGCCTTGCTCTTAGCAGAGAGAATGTCCAGAAACCTGATGGCAGTGATTATAGAACAGAGAGAATCTGAGCTGACACTCTGTATCCTCAGAGGATCTGTCTGGACTTGGCGTTAGACTATCACCATCCATATGTCAAACTCACTAATGACCTCCCCCTCATTATTCACCCGCTCTCCTAGTGTCCATCCACCAGCCCCCGTATCCATTCACCCTCCTAGTGTCCATCCACCAGCCCCCGTATCCATTCACCCTCCTAGTGTACATCCACCAGCCCCCCGTATCCATTCACCCTCCTAGTGTCCATCCACCAGCCCCATTATCACATTCACCCTCCTAGTCTATCCACCCAGCCCCATTGTCCCACCCTCCCTGAGTGTCCATCCACCAGCCCCATGTCCATTCACCCTCCTAGTGTCCATCCACCAGCCCCCGTATCCATTCACCCACTCCCAGTGTCCATCCACCCAGCCCCGTCAATTCACCTCCCCGGTGTCCATCCACCCAGCCCCGTGTCCATTCACCCTCTAGTGTCCATCCACCCAGCCCCGTGTCCATTCCCCACCCTCCTAGTGTCCATCCAGCCAGTATCCATTCCCCACCCCTCCCTGAGTGTCCAGCCACCCAGCCCCCGTATCCATTCACCCTCCCTACTGTCCATCCACAGCCCCCCGTATCCATTCACCCACTCCTAGTGTCCATCCACCAGCCCCCATGTCATTCACCCCCATAGTGTCCATCCACCAGCCCCCTATCCATTCACCCTCCTAGTGTCCATCCGTATCCATTCACCCCTCCTACTGTCCATCCAGCCCCATTATCCATTCACCCTCCTACTGTCATCCACCAGCCCCCGTATCCATTCACCCTCCTAGTGTCCATCCACCAGCCCCCTATCCATTCCCCATGCCCTCCTAGTGTCCATCCACCAGCCCCATTCACCCTCCTGAGTGTCCATCCATCCCCGTATCCATTCACCCTCCTGATCCCATCCCACAGCCCCGTGTCATTCACCCTCCTGCACAATGTCAATCCACCAGCCCCCCGTATCCATTCACCCTCCTAGTGTCCATCCACCAGCCCCCCGTATCCATTCACCCTCCTAGTGTCCATCCACCAGCCCCCCGTATCCATTCACCCTCCTAGTGTCCATCCACCAGCCCACGTATCCATTCACCCTCCTAGTATCCATCCACCAGCCCCCCCGTAACCATTCACCCTCCTAGTGTCCATCCACCAGCTCCCATATCCATTCACCCTCCTAGTGTCCATCCACCAGCCCCCCGTATCCGTTCACCCTCCTTGTGTCCATCCACCAGTGTCATTCAGTGTGAATGTGTGTACAATGTCAGTGTGTTTGTTTGTACAATGTCAGTTTGATTGTGTGTACAGTCAGTGTGATTGTGTGTGCAATGTCAGTGTGATTGTGTGTGATTGTGTGTACATTGTCAGTGTGATTGTGTGTACAATGTCAGTGTGATTGTGTGTGATTGTGTGTACATTGTCAGTGTGATTGTGTGTACAATGTCAGTGTTTGTGTGTGCAATGTCAGTGTGATTGTGTGTGCAATTTCAGTGTGATTGTGTGTGCAATTTCAGTGTGATTGTTTGTGCAATGTCAGTGTGTTTGTGTGTACAATGTCAGTGTGATTGTGTGTGGGTTTAATGATAACATTTTGTTTGCCACTTCAAATTAACTCCAAATGAAAAGTACATCAGATGGGTATGTCTGAGGTTGGGAGATAAGGGGTTAACAACATTTTATTTTTGAGTCATTATATTCTGTATTGTTGTACGATGAGGTATATTCACTAAATAGAGAATTGTGGAGCTTTGAAAAGTAATCTAAAAATTTAGAGCAAAATAGCCGAACTGTAAAATTAGACGAATTGTATATTTATTTTCAATGTAGTTAATTTACGCTATAATTCGAAATTCTCTGGATTATTCACTAAGTGGATTGTCAGAAATTCAAAGGGAATTCAAAGAAAATGTTACATTTCAGGCAAAATTATCCCTACTTTAACCATGGCTGATTTGAAGATGTTTTGGTC